AGTTCCAGTTCCCCTTCATCTCCTTCTTCTCCTCCTCAACTCAAACTGAGATTTACTTTAGCAGATGGGACCCGAAGGGCATACGTCCAGTCCTCTGGGCAAGTCTGGCTGGAACCTTGTCTTGAAACCCGTATCAGACTTCATCTCCAGTTTGTTTTGTTGTTTGTGTTTTCTTGACTCTTTTGCTCCAACTTTTCCTTTAGTTCCGATGTCTCGTTGGGCCTTCTGGTCCCCAGGATTTGACACTTTCAGTGGGCCCTGACACCCCTGCACACCTGGCTCACGGGGAGCGGAGGCTGCCATTAGGGATCTAATCTGAGGACAGAGTGGCTGGTGTGGGGGAGGGTGTGCCCGGAGGGTCACTAGGTGAAGGGTCTCCTCCTGCTGTTGGGGCCACGGCTTTCCAAGGGGGAAGGAGGCTGGGAGAGCTGGTCCCAGGGAGGTGACCGGAGAGCCCACCTGCACACTGAGTTTTGGAGGCAGGTGTCTTTCCCGTTGGGCTGTGTCTATGTTTATTTTACAGGTGGCACGTGAATGAGTCACTTCGGTGATCTAAGTTTCATCCGATTTTCTAAATCTGGGTAATTTAGATTGTAGCGAACTTTCTTTTACTCTTTAGACTGTGATCCCATCCTTAATTTTTCTTTTCAGTTTCTAGCTTGAGTGACAGCTTAAAGTTGGTTCTTGACATTCCCAATTAATTCTTCAAAATCCCATGAAGGGACTATAAAAGTAACCAGGAATGGTATCTCCAGTTTAAAGGAAACAAAAGAAATATAAATAACCAAAAATTACATAGTATGTGAATGGTTTTTAATTATATGTGAGAACAGAATACTGTATTTTGTTAAATCTTTGCAACTGCAAGTGTCTGGTTTGCTTCTGACGCCCAGAAAAGATACCCTCCACCCCCTGGGCATAATGGGAATTCTCCCAGCTTCACTTTGGCTCTATTCTTATTATTGTCTTTGCATGTTAGAAGCCTTTGTCTCTGAGATATTGTGCAGCTGTCTCTCTACCAACTTGTCAGATGTGCTTCTGATACCACTGTAGAAGTCTGAAGATATGTTTTGCTTTCAGTGTGAAAAAGTACATAAAGGATATAAACTATTGCTACTCTATTGGATCTGGAATTTAAATGCATGCATAAATTCTAGTAGGTCCACATTTTCATATTTGAATATTGAATTCAAAACTTCAACTCTGAAATCTTCCTTTTAAGATCACTCTATAAATTCAACAAAAGTTGGCATTCAGAAGAAACAAACAACTACATATTTATTTAAATTAAATCACAGACTCATGGCCATAACATCTGTGTCTCCCCCTCTCCTCCTCCCCGCCCCTACCTACCCAGTGGAGTGCCACAGTGCTCTTTCCACTTGGTGGCTAAAAAGATAATCTGAATTTGATTTTAGACTCATCATGTGATTTTCCCCCCCAGATCATGTGCTATAAAAAAGACAGAATATTTATTATCTTTCTTGCATGAGCATATAATACATTTAATACCTTTTATTGTAGATCAAATTGCATAGCAAAAACTTAAATAAGAATGTGTTCAATCTTTATTATTGCTATGGAAATTGATTATTGGTCAAAGGGTAGAACCCTTAACTTGGAAATAGTTTTTTAAAAATCTTGCTAAGATTTCATTATAATATTATTAAGAATTTGGCTTGCATCCATTTCAGGTGAGGAAAGAACACAGATTAGAGATTAACACAAGGTCAAAGAGCCATTAGAAGCAGAATTAACTGAGAATTGTAGATATGGAAAATTTCTTTGAGATCACCTTGTGAAGACCCTTTAAAGTTTAGATGTAGATGACGAATATGAAGACTGCAGATGCTAAGTGATGGCCAAGGTCAGACAGCAAGTTAACGAAGGCAGAGCCAAAATTATCTGGAGGTCTCATGACATCCTCTCCAGGCCCTTTCCACCACAACCACTGATTATAACTGACCGGTTTGTGAAATCTCTGCAGATTGTGTTGCTCTCGAGAGTTAATGCAGCATAAGATATTCACTAGCATTCTAACTCTGAAAGGTCATCTGTGACTTTTTAAATATATGTATTTCTGGACTTTGGCTGGTGGAAATTTTTACCCTGCACCACCCAACATTTGAGTAAAAATATGGGAATTATGATAGTGAATCCATCATTTTTAATTATGAAAATATTCACTTTATTAGCATTTCAAATTGTTTTATTTCTAGAATTTTAGTTCTTAAAACTACTAAAATTTAAATTTCTATATCTGGAATTGGATTTAGAATTGCATGTGTTTATTTTTATGGGCCATTTTTTCCCTTGTCCTCAAACCACAAAGAACAAAACAAACAAACAAACAAAAACAAGAGGGAAATGACCTAACTACTGTAACTTATTTGCTAATTTTAAATGTAATATTTAATTAAAAATATAATAAGATAGGGACAATTTTAGTCAAAATTAGGTTAAAGAAGGAAAATACAGTATATTCTTGTTTTGTAAACATTGCCCCAGTTAAAAGATTTAATGGCCAAATATATCTTGTTCATAAAATATTGTAGTCAGTTATTAAAATTTTTAGAACATTTATTTATTCAATGAATATTGAGTATGCAGTCACTGCAGGACAGAAACTATGCAACATACTGGGAATGCATAGAGAAAATATAATCCTTTGCCCTCAATAGGCTCAGCATTATTTTATAATTAAACATTTCCAAAAGATAATATCTATTAAATTTTAAAAAGTACAACAAAATAACAACAAATAAAATTCTAGAGATATTAAAAAGTTTTTTTCAAAAACAGCTCAATGGAAATTTTGCCTGATATATGCCTGAAAATATTCTATTTAGAAATGATGGTCTTAACATATTGTTAGTCTTTATTATGAAAATGTTAGGCTGTTTTAATCTCCATTGTTGTGCCTTCAAAGTGACTTATAGACTATCTATTTGTAATATTATTGGAGAAGATGATGAAGGCTGTATTTATACCAAACAACTGGATTTTTGGAGGTATGGTCAAGTGTCTTCATCCCTTTCATATTAATTAAAAGTCATGGCCAACCATATAACAATGCAAATCCAACCTTTGGAAGGCAGCTATGCTCCCCACTATACCACCAACGCCTTCGCAAATCCAACCTTTGGAACCCTGAAAAGAATCTGCTGTAACAGTCTGGTGTGATTGCATTTGCTTTATAAGCATCTAAGTGTCTTTTGACCTTTTTCAGGCCACTGTTTTAAAGTTCACATGCTTATATTCTCAGAATATATGCTTATATTCTAAGCATTGGATAGGACCAGAGAGTACCGAATTCAATACATCATTAAAAGGAGCTAGTAACTTCATTAGTCAATTGTATTTTCAGTAGTATATTTGGTCACAAACTAGATGATCTACACATTAGGTTGGGCTTTAGGCATGCCAAAGGTGAATGTACTAGTAGTTGGACAGATTAGGTATACATTTTTTTTTGTGTGTGTAATATTTTTCTAAGAGCTCATTTGTGAACTTGAGTTGACAAAACTAAATAAGAGATTAATCAAAGAACTTGTATGCATATATGCAAAACCCATGGACACAGACAATAGTGTGGTGAAGGCCTAGGGCGGGGGACAGTGCAGGCTAAAAGGGGGGAAAAGGGGGACATATGTAGTTTCAACAATGAAGATTTTTAAAAAAGACAAGGAACTTTTTTTGCGGTCAAGCCCATTTTCAAAGTAACTGAAAACAAGGAAATGTGTGGGTTTATAAAAAAAAACCTCAGGCCAACCTTTCCCATTTGAAAAATGTATATCATAACCATTTATATTTATGACTCCAAATAAAGTAAATGCAGTTTTTAGGTCTCATATTTTTGAACTTCTGAGTCATATATCCTTTTTTATTATGACAACCTTTAAAAATATGTCTAAGTGAAATAGTAAAGGGCACTAAAGGACTGGTAAAAGGTAAACACAGATCTCCAGAGGGAAATATATAGTGGCAACATGGTCTAAATCAGGGGTCCTCAAACTTTTTAAACCGGGGGCCAGTTCACTGTCCCTCAGACCGTTGGATTTTTAGGTCTCATATTTTTGAACTTCTGAGTCATATATCCTTTTTTATTATGACAACCTTTAAAAATATGTCTAAGTGAAATAGTAAAGGGCACTAAAGGACTGGTAAAAGGTAAACACAGATCTCCAGAGGGAAATATATAGTGGCAACATGGTCTAAATAATAACCATCAATGTATTATATAAATAGTATAATTCTGCTTGAAGTATAAAAGGCTTTTCTTTTAGAAGATTAGTCAAGATTAAAAAAATTATTGATTGATTTGAGAGAGAGAGGAAGGGGGAGAGAGAGATCAATAAGTTATTATTCCACTTATTTATGCATTCATTCATTGTTTCTTGTATTCTTGTATGTGCCCTGACCAGGGATCAAACCCACAGCCTTGGTGATCAGGAACCAACTGAGTTACTGGCCAGGGCTAAGATTTTTTTTTTTAATGACAGACTAGCACTGCTTTTTGCTTCTCTTATTGGTCGAAAGATAGTAATTAATTGTAATACTCTGTAGTGAATATTTTTACAGAAAGCGACTAAAATGGGAGTATTTGGGGGAGAAGAGACTAGGAGTAGAGAATATATGGAAACAGCATTGGAAAAATAGCCTGGACTGGGGTTTCTGAGACCTATGAATGAATCCTGATTTTACCATTGGATGTGTGACCTTGGAGAATTCACTTCATCTTTCTGTGTCTTGATTTTTTTTTTTTTTTGCCTTATTTTGGAAAAAAAAAAA